AAAACACCTCATTAGTTGTTTTCCCTTATAGCTTTCTCTCACAACAATTTTTAACAATAAGTGATTTTCTCATAATTTACCAAACGGGCTATGCTTCCCAATTTTTTTAAAAAAATTACTTATCACCCCAAATAAGTAATGCCAAATTGGTTCTAAATCATAGCTCCCCTAATATTTTATTAATTTTTAGTATATTCTTTAAATATATTGGATAATTTAATTAAAATGACCATATTTAAAATTTATTTTAGAAAATAAAAATATTTTCGGATAGGATTTAGAAAAGAAAAATATTTTTGAATAAGATAGAATTAATTTAAAAATGACAACACCCCAACCAAGAAAATTAAACATTAATTTAAAAAACAACAACAATAGATTAGTTTTAAAACAATAACTAGCCCACTCAAGAAATAATAAAATAAGATATAGCCCACCCAATAAGTATGCCACATTTGGCCCATCATTTGACCTCTTCGGCCTGTTGACTGGGTTTGGTCCTGTGACATAGCACATTTAGCCCATTTGTTGAAGATGGGTTTTGTCACAACCCGATCCGAGAATAAAAAATATTATTGAATTAGGGTGCATGAATTGAACAAAACAAAATAAAAATACTGAAAAATTGGTTAAAATACACCCTTATATATAAAAAAAAATAATAGTCTTACAAGTGTACAAGATATAAATAAAATTTTATCACTCTAAACTAATCCAACTTCTCTGATTTCGTTTTTGTCTTGTCCACTAATTGATCTGAAAAACAAAATATGTGAGGGATGAGCAAACCACCGCTCATTGAGTAGATTATGTAATATGCCAGTCAAGCAATGTCATTTTACACACTCTAGAAAATATAATAAAAAGATACACAATCCAAATCATATCATATCATTACTTCATATATTGGTTATCCTTCACAAATTGTACCCAGCATGTGACCCATATTGGCCTCACTGCCCTATGTCCTTGTCTGGTACATTTATCCTTTTGATACCTCGTCACTGAAGTTTTCATGTTTCATGAATAGTACATACTTCACAAAAACTCCAAAAAATATATATAGTGTGAAATATTGCACAAACTAGACATGTTTAACTTGAAAATATAGAGAGATTTGTAAATATAATAAATCCATGATTTTCACATTTATCACAAAATAAGAACTTTTAGAACACATTACATAACCCACTCATCATGATAAGTATGAAATATTGCAAGACAAGCACACACGTTCTTCATCTTGTTTCTTTTTCTTCTCTCTCTCTCTCTCTCTCTCTCTCTCTCTCTCTCTCTCAAACACTACTTCATGGTAGAAATATATTCTAAAGAATTGGAATGAATGATTGAAGTAAGGAAGGTTGATACTTATAGGAGAGGCAACAGATGCAACCAAAAAATTATTTATATATATAATATTTTAAACCACCAAAAGATAAGATAGAAAAATAAGGGAATAATGTGACTCATCTCCCTTTAGCCAATGATATCACAACACCGCTTGTTACTAGCATGTAAAGTGGCATGACAATGATGATTATAGTAATGTGACTTATCCCCCTTTGGCCAATAACATCACAACACCACTTGTTACTAGCATGCAAGGTGGCATGGCAATGATGATATGATTAAAACTAATTCCAAATCTCTAGACGTGGAAAACAAGAATGGTGTCATCTTTCAACTAAAGGAATAATCTCATACTATGCTTAAGATTTAATAACATAAAAGTCTTCACAATAAATATTAAATAAGGAAAATTCATATTAATAAATAATTAATATGTAGTATGAATATTTCTTTAAAATAATAATTTATATAGTTTTTTATTTAAAACAGGTTCTCACAAGACTTGGGTGTGAAATGGCTAAATTTAGCCCACCGTTAGAGATGGCCTTAGGAGAGCAATAAGCCTTGAAATTGTGTTTCATTCACATTTTGATCCTTCAACTTTAAAAATAACTTCTTTAGATCCTAAATTCCACTTTTGTTAGCATCATTGGTCTTAACGTCATAATATGTTACATTTTTCATCAAATTTAAGGACAAGATGATCACTTTGTGTGAGTCACCCTCTCATTTTGTTTTATCTAGTGAAGTACACACCTCCTCTTCATGAAGGCCCAAAAGAACTTTATGTAAGAGAATATGGGTAGGCATAGTCCGGTTCGATCTGATTTTTCTCTCAAATTAGAACCAAAATGAGAAATTACACATGATGCGGTTGTTATAGAAACTGTCTAACATAATCGAACCAGATCACGAACGTTAGGTATCTTATCTTCTTCTATGTGAGGCTGCAAATCGAACCAAATCATGAACGTTAGGTGTCTTCTCTTATTCTATGCGAAACAACATATCCAAAGCTGGAACCAATCCAAAGGTTCAATCTTCCCAATTAATCAATACCTAATAGGCAAAACTCCATTCACCGATCAAACAACGAAATCTCGCCAATCCAAGCTTATCTTCGTGCTTGGGACGACATAGGGACTATTACAAAGCAAAGTATGCCGCCACTAAGGGCTCACGCGCCACCTTTTGTAACTTGTGGCTTTAGGTGTTTTTTGGCTACCGAAAAAGTCCAAATCGCCAACAACGCAATATACCACTCACACAAGCACTTTAAGGGGAACAACTTTTACTCTTTGACCCTGCCAAAAAGTGGCCAAATTGGCTTGAAAATAGCCAAACTCGTGAAGGTTTTGGTGGAGCTTCTCGAGCTCACGACATAGGCGATAGCCAATAACAACATCGGCTAACTTAGGGAAAATGTAGAAGGAGGAGAGGCCCACCTTTTCCAAGAAGAATGATGGCCATAGGTGGCCGGAGCTCACTAGAATAGCCTTTGAAATGGAGGCATCAACTGTGCAAAAATCCCAAAATTCTCCTTCCAAAATCTGACAATTACAGAGGTTAATCAGAACAGGGGTGGTGGTGTAAAGGTTCATGAATTGGAGACGAGAAATTCCCTACCGATCTCATTGCGTGTCGCCATCGAACGACGCCAGAAATTTTCCTCAAGTGTTGTTTGCCATTTTTTCTCAAGAGACGAGTTAGAATCAGGGAAATAGGAGAGCGAAGAAAAAGTGAGCAGAGAGAAAGTTGTGAGTTTTTTTTAAAAAAAAAATTAAAAAAAATGACTTTTCTAAAAATTATGGTTGTGTCACTGCACTTTTGTTGATCGTAACTCTCTGACTCTAATTTACGCATAGTACATGTCTACAAACTCATGAGAACGATTTCCACACAATGGGGAGTAAACCACTTTAAAATGGCAAAATCAGTCTTGAAGAAAGAGTGGCCTCTAAACCACTTTAAAACGGCAAAACCACCCATTCCTTTTAAAATTTTGAAAATAAAGTTAAAATCCAAGACGATATGTTACATGTTTTGTCATTTATTAGCCCTTTACTGGGCCTATTTTGTTGTTTATGGACTCTTTAGTTGACCTATTTTGTCGTTTACCTCTTTAGTGGGCCTATTTTGTCTTTTATGGCCAGTGTAGTGGGCCTACTTTATTGTTTATTGGCCCATGAAGTGGGCCTATTTTGTCTTTTATATATCGTTAATGGGCTTATTTTATCATTTATGGGCTCGTATTGGGTTTATTTTGTGGTTTACGGGCCTCCAATGGGCCTTTGTGGTAGGCATCTTTGTCCTTGTAGGCCCATTTTGTCGTTTATGGCCAGTGTAGTGGGCCTACTTTATTGTTTATTGGTTCTTGAAGTGGGCCTATTTTGTCGTTTATATATCATTAGTGGGCTTATTTTATCATTTATGGGCTTGTATTGGGTCTATTTTGTGGTTTACAGACCTCCAATGGTCTTTTTTTGTGGGCATCTTTGTCCTTGTAGGCTTTTAAGGAGTCATTTTTTACTTTAATGGCCATTCAGTGGGCCGAATTTGTCTTTTTTGGGCCATTCAGTAGGCCGACTTGGCCATTAATGGGCACGCTGACTTTATCATTAACGGGCCTCATAGTGGTCCGACTCTAGCAAATACATAAGAAACATGAAGAAGAAACAAACTAACAAAGCACAACCCTAAGTGGTGTATATGGAATTAGGTCACATACAACGGATGCATGTGTAATTTATAAAATTCACGTATTATACACACAATTCTCACATATTATTGAATAAAAATAATATATATTTGGCTATACTCAGTTTTCCCCTAATTCGGCTATACTATTTCTTAAAAAATTTCAAAAAAATCTAGTATAGCCGGGCGGCTATACGATTTATATATGTGTACAGATTTATTTCAGTGTAAAAGGCTTTATTGTTTAGCATTTAAGCGTCTGAAAGTGAAGAAAATCTAAAATGTGACGTGACCATATCTTCCAAAGTCATTTTCCTCCAAAACAAACCTTAGAAGGTAAGAGCTTTCATTTCACGGCATTGATTTGCGAACAAGACAAATGCTTATCTTTAATTATTATTTTAGGTATACTACATTTGTATACATCATATCAAATGTCCAGTCCATATACCAAAAACCAATCATCATTCTGTCGGAAATCTTCACACAATTATGTGTTTTGCTGAGTGAACCTCACACACAAACCCAATTAAATTCATCCATCAATGAGAGAGAGAGAGAGAGAGAGAGAGAGAGAGAGAGCATAAATTCTTATTAGAAAACAGGCTACACTTGACGAAGACCTTGTTGAATGTTTGTGACGGGGGCTACTACAATGAATATTTAGTACTTGCTAGGGTGACAATCATATTTACTGTATATGCAGCAAAATGCTGCTGAAACATGGTCGCTTCGCTAAGCCATCTAAAGTTAGAGGACAAAATTACCAGCCGTGGCTTTCCATATGCCTCAAGATTTGTTGTCCAACTGACCATATACTTCAGAATATATACGACTGGAAAATTGACCATAACACAATCAGCTGAAAGACAGATTTGCATTGACAACCAAAGCCTCTTTTTTTGCATTTTTCTCTATTATTAACTCAGAAATGAGTGAATTTAACATGAAATAAATACAACTGGGTATTATTCATACAAGTTTCAGGATGATACATTATGGAACAATAATTGTAACCATCTTTAACAACCGCATACCAGACATCGTACCATCTCTGACATGTCTTTGGAGTTAAAAGGAACAAGGTCTTTCTTCTCATCCTTCTTCTCACTCTGCGGAGGTGGAGGACCTATACTCACAACTGAAGCAGATTTTCTGAATTTTCTCACCTTCTTGATAACCTTTACTGGATCGGCATCCCCAGTTACTGTCACTATATTTTTTGATGGGTCGAGGACAATTGAAGTTATCCCTTCTACAGTTGCTATTAACTTCATCAACTTCTTCCTGCACTTGGAACATAGCAGGTCCACTGACACTATAGTTTACTGCAACAGAAGAAAAGAGTAAAGGTCAGATTTTGTTTCGTACTTGTGCGCTCAGAAAATATAAATTTCATCTGAAGTATTGCAGTGTGTGTCAGTGAAAGACTCCACAGAAAATGGTGCTACGCCAATAACAAATTACATAGCAGAGAAAAAATCAGATGAGAGATGGAACCTTAGACATAAGAAAGCAATAATGATAGAAAGCAAACTGGAACAAGCTAATAACAAAGAAATAATAGATCCAAAGATGCTATATATAAAATGTTCTCTCTCTCTATTTAGTTTGATTATATTTTCAGCACGGCACTTTGGGCATTCTTAGCAAACAAGCTGGTTGAGTACAAAATGACAGTGTCAGTAGTTGGCTAGAAGTAAATGCCAGTCGGAAGGGTTGTTAACTGGGTCACCTATGACCTCTGATATGCAATAAATGCAGAATTTACCATGTGCGGGCACACACACACATCCCATGCTAGACTAAAACACACCTTTCTACAATGCACATCCTCTTTATCTTGAAAGAAATGAGACATTTTATAGCAAAGTTAAAATGATGCAGGCCTGCCTGACTCTGACAAGCTTGCCCATTCGCCTGTTTGTACACACAGGTGTGTCAGCTTATAGCAAATGTTACTAGAAGAAACATGCTCATTGACTGAAGAAAACAAAGATTTTGAACAAACCAACAAATGAGGTTTTAGCTCAGGATGTCTCCAAGAAAATAAAGAAGACCTGACATTACGCAATGTATTGGGATATAGTAATGGCAATCAGTTTCTCAATTCAGCTCTAGTGGGATCAGTTGAGGGCAAACTTGTCCCACTTCTGGAACGTATTAATTCCTTCTTCCCCGTACTTGAATCATCAACTTTAACAGGATTAGATCCACACAAACAAACAGAGAGAGAGAGAGAGAGAGAGAGAGAGACCTATAGACAGCTCAGGAGCTCATTGTTCAGCACATGATGTAGCCAACCCACGGCCTTTATATTCCACATATATGCTGATGAAAATATCAAAGCCGAACAACCAGAGTTCACAGAACCTTCCATATTAGTCTTAACACCTAGTCTAGAAACATGTTCCAGCATCAGGTTCATTGATTCTTCCAAGTCATTTCTTTTGAATGTTCGTGGTTTGGCAATTTAGTTACAAAACAAACTCCAAATCACACTTCGTACATCAGACAAGTGGAAAATGTCATAAGTTACTGCTCAAAACTAAATGTGTTTGGTTCCATTGTTGAAAATCAAAACTATAAGATCCTTACATTTACCTGACAATTTATTAAAGGATATCAAAATATAAATCTGCACCAACAATGGAAAACTTGAAAAATATGAAGAACTATAAGGAAGCATAAAGAAAGCGCAAAAAGAATTCTGATGAGAAAAACTGGAAATTTAGATTAATGCCTATGCAAGAAATTGCTTGTTCAAACTTAGATAATTCATTGATTCTCTAAAATACTGTTGCTAAAACAGACGCATTATCGGTTAGAAAACACCATGGATGCCCTGGTCCTTTGTTTTTCTTTATATTAGTACTAATACCACAATTTGAAAATCCAGCTGTCTGAATTAATAGGCCATGTGGGCTTTTGATGGAATCACATTGAAGTTAGTTGATACATCACTTTCCCTGTAGAGCCCAGGAATTATGTTTCATCAGTTTCTCCTCATTTCCAATTAAACTTCTCAATCTTATACAACGGTTTTTTATTTATCACATACTCTACTTCCCTCGTTAGTCTTCATGAGCTTTATTAACAACATGAAACACTGATTACGTGCCTCAACAAAACTATGTGAGGACTAAAGCAGAATGCCATGTTTATGCTAATACAATTAGAAAGTTGCAGTAAATATGCATAACTCAATCTAAATTGAATGCATTTGCCTCCTAATGAATGGTAAGTTCAAACAAAATTAGGACATGCCCAGGAACATTTGCAGACTTGCAGTATAAAAATTACCGTAGCTTAATCTATTCTAGAAATGAAAGATTTGCATGGACTGATGATGCATGCAGCGGCAGTCCAGGATATATTTCAAACCAGTTATTAAAAACAGAAAAAAGAACAAAGAAAAGAATTTCATCATTCTTCAAAAACAAACAAAGCCCTTCCCCAACCAAACCCCACATGCAAACACTAAGACAAAGCTTATATATGATAAATCATTGGCACAAAGAAAGAGAAGGGGAAGAGGGATGGGAATAACTTGCTTATATTACTAACCTTGCAAATCAAAAACTTCATAGAAACAAAGGAAATAAAGAAATAATGGCTAAAAGCCCAGAAGTATACAAACAAATACAGCTATTAACAGCAATAATTTACAGAAAATACTATATATCAACCGACTTGCACTTACTCATAATTTGAAGTAAAGTATCTTCCATGGCACAGCAATAAATCTCAATTTGCAGTTTTAAGAGCCATTGTGCTTGTATTTTTCTTTTGTCTTTCCTCAGTTTCCACCATTTGATTGTAGTAGCTTACTATTTTTTTGTCCAACTCATAATATTCTTCCATTTTCTTCAACTGTTTCAAATCCAGGTCAATGAAATTCACCTAGGAAAATGAAACTCAAATAAGATATTAATGTCATAAGGAAAGATATCCCCCACAGGGGATTTCACGTAGGAAAATGCAACTCAAATAAGATATTTACGTGCTCTAGCTGTTAAGAAATGGTATTAAATTATGAGAAGAAAATTTGTAAAGAATGAAAATCAGTCAGAACAAAATGATAAGAAGCTCTGTACCTTGTAATCAAAAAATTGGTTGGTTGAATCTAGATACAAATTATTATATGGAGATCCTGGATTCCCATCTTTCCTTGGTCTAAAACTAATCATCAAACTGCAGTCCTTTGCAGTAGCAGCTATCAAAAAATCCTTCACAATCTTCAAGCTTTCATCCAAAGAGATGGAATGCAATGAAAGATATCTCTGTGACATTTTTTCTTTACCGGATGCTCTACATACCCTGCAAGGCTCCGAAACAATGTCATAATACGCATGGATAGCCCCATCAATGTCAAGATTATCAAGTTTCTGGACCTCAAGGAGCCGATCCAACACTCCAGATTTATGAACTGTCTCAGCAACAAGCAGTAAAAAACTCATTGTGCGCAAGCCATCACCTCCCTGAATAACACACTTGAGTGCATCTTCAAATTTTCCCCGAGTCACAAAATCAGTACTGTCTGCACCACCGCCTAAGCCCCCAAATATTTGAGAACCATTCAAGAATACACGGAAGTTATTCTGCGGGGTTGAGAAGAGATCCCTGATAGCTTTATGTATTCTTTCCTTGGATCCAGAGAACAGATCAAGTGGATTATATTCACTATATTCTGATACCTGTAACACAGGTTTAGACATATCCAGGTCAAAATTAAACATTGACGTTTAGTATTACTACAATAGGACTCTCTTTGCTTATATTTGTGCGCAGAAGTTCTAAGAATTAGATGAGATGGAATTCCCATTGAACATATAGAACCCATTTGGCTGATTTCTGGGTAGTAATTAATTTGACCAGGAGAAGAACATAGTAAAAGCACACCTCTCCTTGATGCAACTTCAGAGCTTGGTGCATCCGAAAACGAGTAATGCTCCGTTTAATGGCATTTCCTTCATCAATGAACTTTGAAGATGGCAGAAATCCACATTTTGGCTATTTTTGGAAACAATTGAAAAGAAAAAAGGAATAACTAAATATATTTCAAGGGTATTACTCATGTGAAGGTAACGAGAAAAAAGTTTACATGACAAGCATAAAATAGAAACAAAGAACACAAACAGGGAAAAGCACCTTTATCTCCACAGATATACAGGGTTCAACTTCTTGAGTACCTGAAATGAATAAAGAAGAATAAACTATCACTCTTTGAAATTTACACTTAAATAAAAGTGACAATCAAATTATTAATTTATTATGTTCTGGATTGTCAGAGCTTTTTCCTAAGGTCTCAGAAATAAAACAAAACATAAAAGAAAACTTCTGATCATATCTATCACAAGACAATATTTAGATAAATATGTGCACCTACATTTAATAAGATACAAATTTCCTATGATTCTAAGCAGAATGCTGCTATCTCCAGGTTTCTCTCCCTGCTTCTCTGAGTTTTAGTGTTGTGTGGATATTACCTCATATCTTTTACTAGAAAAGTAAAAGGCAAAGGGAGAGCTTTTAACTGTTAGCAACCAAAACAGGCAGACAGTTCTAAATCTTTAAGTGCAGCACCAATTAAAATTGTAACAGAGACACTAATTACCACGAGGAAAAAGAGAATGATCAGACATGAGAAGCACAGAATCACATTGTGTGTCAACTTTGGCAGCGTCAACTCGAGAAGCAGGACGCTGACAAATTATGTTCTTCACAACCGACTCCAAGAATTCTTTGGAAGCAGGGACACGTATCTGCCAAAATTCTAACTTAAGGTTAAAGAACTAAACCATTTTGTACATCTTACCACATGCATGCATGACTTCACGGGAAAACCAAATGCATAACTATATTGCTGAGAATGAGGGTATTTCCATCAACACTATTGTGGCTTCCCCTTATAAGAGAAAGCTTACAGCGTGACACGGCATATGAAATCCATAATCACTGTCTTGGACCGGGACAAAGATACATACCCCATGTACAAACACAACCCAACTAAAAAATGCCTTAAAGCCCACCATAACTATTTTGAAATGATACATACAAGTACAAGCGTAGATAGCTACATACCCCAGAATCAACGTGCGTGGAACCCAATAGAGGGCTCATGATGTGCTTCACAAACAGTTGGCAAGCAAGTTCTTTGTTAGAGGTAGCTACAATGTCCTCCGTGTCCTTCCACAGAAGACGTTCATGCATGGTTAATGCAGTGGGACTGTTCATGGACTTTGACCCATTAATCGGAGCTTTCTGTAGACGCATTACTTTCCCAATCTACATGGAGCAAGGTACAATCAGTATAAGCTTCAAACACGAGAGTAAGGATGAGGTTGAGAAAGAGAATGAGAGGGGAGGAGTTACAAAAGTGAAAACAAAAACTTGAAAGTGAAAACAAGAGATTTCAGTTTTTAGTTTTTGTTTTCAGTTTTGTCACTCCTCCCTACCATCATCCCTCCTCATCTTCCCTCTCAATCTCATCTCCACTCTCATTCTCACTTTCATTCCCCCTCTTTTTCCTCTGTACTGCACAAAAAATGAAAACTAAAAACGAAAATTGAAAAGGTTATCAAACGGGCCTAAGAAATTCTTCTCTCTTTTTTCTCAGGAAGAAAAAACACATACTTTTAGATAAGTGCATAATTGAAGCTCAGGTGGTGTGTTTTTTGGGAAACAATCAAAGAAAGTATGAAACATACAAAAGCGGGGGCGGATCCGCTGTAACCGAGAACAAGATTGGCAGCGCCTTCGCCTCTGTAAACCCAATCAGCAGCGTCTTTTTTCTCTAAAACAACCTCCATATCTCGGTGTTGACTAAGATTCAGCTGCTCATAGTTACTGCACAAATGAAGATTTTCACTTTTTTTTTCTATCCAAAACAAAAATCCTCAATGCAAGATCGAAATTTGAGAGTGCCCAATTGAGGGGATAAGATTTGCAAGAATCAGCTTGATAAAACACCTTGCAAGAATCAGCTGACACACCAAACACCGAAGTCGCAGAGAGATGATGATTTTATGGATAAGACCTGAGGCTGAGAACGCAGACCAAACAAAGAAAGTCGTTCGTAGTGGGAATCTTTGTTTGGACTCGAACAATATTTTATTGGCTTATCACTCTCAGTGGCTTCACTTTTACCTTTGCAGCTTCACTTTCTGGGATGCTAATTCCTTTCCGCGTAATCTCACTAGTTATACCACATTTCCAGCACCAGTATGAGACAAGCAACCTAAACCCAAAACCCACTCCGGAAAATTAAAAAGAAAGAAAAAAGGAAACTTTTGAAAGAAAGAAAGAAAAAATCACAAGAACAGGTCGACCGCGACAAGATATCCGAACTTGGGTCGTTGAGTTACACACAACAAAACAAATTGCAGTTTAATTAATGGGCTTGGCCCATTATGCGATGATTACAGAGAACAAACCCACTTGGCACCCCGAAGGCCTATTGACTGTAGAGTAATTCTATAGTGAGGGCCTAATAGATGACTCTTATGTGATGCCTTATTTCTTAATCGTTGGTTAAGGTTAATTAATTTGATCAAATGGCTAATCAATTTGATTTAACGATTAATATATTAGGCCCTCACTATATAATTCTTGATTGACTATAATTACCTTTTGTTGAATCGTTCTATGGTAAGGGTTGAGTTGTTTTATGATGAGAGTAGTATGGCAATAGGTCGAATCGGGGGTGGCTATGCCATTTCCATCCCCGTCTCCGTTAAGATTTTTTTCCCCCATCCCACCTTCATACTCGCAATATTCATATCAGGGATTCCTCGTCCACACCTTCGTTGGGGAATGGATTTCCTGACCTGCCTAATTACGGAAGAAAAAACCAATATATAACTACTTTGTTGAAAGAAAAAAACATTACTAAAGCAAGATAATGAATATATATATATAATACATACTTATAAGACAATATAAGAATGTTTATATATGTATCGGAAGTTAACTAAATAAATAAGTAGTGTGGTTTAAAATATGTATAAATTATATAAGTATATAATATAATAATATAATATATAAAACTTAGTCGATACAATCAGTTTAATAGAATATTTATATATACTATAATATATATACCTCATCAAAAAAATTAATATATATTCTAAATGAGGAGGGTTTGGGTTGGGGATTAAAATATCATCCCCGCCCCTCCCCAAACATCATACCTAAAAAACTCCCCATACTTGTTTTGTCCTTTATACCCGACCCATTATGGTCAAATTCCTGCTAAGACCCTTACTCACTGAGAAAATTGTTATCCCTAGAGGGTGCCATATATGGGCCATAGATGTGAATCTTCATATTAGTCACATGATTCTTCTGAATAGTAACTTCACTTAAGTTTAAAGAAATGATCATGTGGCTAATATTAAGGTCTACATGAGAGGTCCATACATGGCATCATCATTATAGAATTTTGCACCTTTTGTTTCTTAAATTTAGTGACAGAGTTGTTGGTGTCGTTTGACGTTGGTTGAGGGAGTGCTTGTGTGAATGATGTGTTTGATGGAAAGAAGTTGGTTGTCAAGATGATCTCTCAAGTCCTCGAACTATATATTACAACAAACCGGAAATAAGAGACAATGGTGGATTGGATGGTGCTCAAACGAAAACTCTCATGAACAGAGCTGTTTGTGATATAAAATGTGAACGGTTACAATGATGGTGCTCAAGAAAACTTCAAACAAGCCTAAAAGTTTTCTTGTTGATATAACTATGTGGAGATCTAAGAAAGCTGTATCTTCCTATGATAGCAAAACTCATAGTGTTTTGTCTTTACTATACTCAATTCGGAATCCTTACTTTTGAAATTAGGTTACCTTTTACTTCAAAATTGGATAACAACTGAGAGAATTTGGAAGCCACAAGCCTTTTAACCTCCTTATATATTTTGCAGTTACATTTTAAAATGGGTTAGACAAAAAAGAAGAAACATGAGATTATGACGGTGTCATTTAAGTAAATAAATCGGATTGCTTTGCTCCTACCTTCAAATTTTTTCTTTGAGTGACTTGGCAACTTGCCATGTTGGAGATACTCAATCATAGGCTTGCTTCAATCGAGCTCATTTGGATCTTCCTCACATTCAGAAGCCGTAATGACATTTTAATCAGTAACCTCTTTGATTCTCTCTATTATTGGGAGTAGTAAATGATGTTCCCCAATGATGATTTGTAAATCCATTTCATCACGTAATGTAGCCAAATCAGCCAATGCATTAGCTTTATCATTCTCTGACCTTGGGATGTGACTGAATGAATATCTTGGAACTGTGACATAATATATTTTGCTCTTTAATGGTATGGGATGAGAGTGGCATTTCCTAAGCTTTCTTGACATTTGTAAAGCATAATAGATACTTAAAGGACCATATAAAAGCTTAAGATGAGTCAATATATCATATTTAATCATATGTGATTGTGATGACGCCTTTGCTTTACCATGATCAGCTTTAGGGGCCATTGCCTTTGATGTGGAGACTGGAGCTTCCACTACAACATTATTTTTCAAGAGGGAGACATGGATCTCTTTTGACTTTGACTTCCTCGAGGTATTAGAGGACTTATCTTTCTCCTTTTGTTGTGTTTCATTTGTAGATAAGATGCATTAACCAAAGCGGAAGGTAATCTCCTCAATATATATGTCATCCTCGTATTTCTCTATAGAGACCACGTTGCACTGAATGACTTCTTCCCCGGCTACAAATTCACTTGTAAAGAACTCAGCTGGTAAAAACTCAATGAGTGTGTGAGAGACCCTTGTAAGCTATTCATAGTCATCCTTTTGTGGGACCTAAACTTTCGTTTGCGCCCACTTCTTCCTTCTTCTATTTTTTAAGGATGACATGCCTCAAATCTAAACATCGAAACAAGTAGAAGATATGTGATTAGGTGGGAAGTGTTTGGCCATGTGCTTGGCTCTTTTAACAAATGTCTTTCACCTCTCAACGGATTCGTTGACAAATGAATCTTCCCATACCTCTAAACTTGGTACAGTCATAAGCTCTTGAAGAATGTGAATTTGTGGACCTCCAGATAGTGGCAGATCCAGGAATTTTACTTTTAGGGATCAACTTGTAAAATGTCAACAAACATTTTGGAGAAAATAGACTCGTACAAATGAAGGACTAATGCTAGCATTTAGTGTTGTAGTTTGATTTTTTTTTTTTGGTTTATTCACATGATGAGCAAATTTCCCCATAATGGATGAATTCTCTATATAGATGACAATTATTATTTTTTCATGAAATAAGATAAATAGATGATTTGTATAAATAGCTGCTTATTCATTACCCAACAATATAAATAGATGACAATTAGAAAAAAGTGATTCTAACTAAATAATTAGCTGCTTATTCATTACCCAAAAACAACATAATATAATTAATTTGTGTTTAAAAGTGAGCAAGAAGATAATTTATAATCTAGGTTTTGGATGGGTTTATTAATATGTGTAAGTGGATTGTCTTTTTATTATAAGAAAATAGATTATTTTTTCACTTTCATTCTTATCATTATCATTATCATTTGTCTTTGTAAATCATTTTTATCAAAATTTCAAATTTCAAATCTCAATAATAAATATTTATAGAAAATATAGGAAAAAAATGTTAAATTTATTTTCTTCTTGTTGGGTTGGGTTGGGTTTTTTTAAATCTAATTGTTGGGTTGGGCCGTTTGTTTTTTTTTTTTTTGGGATCCTTTGGCAGCATGCACTTTTCAACACGTCATCGTCTTCTTCAATTGGGTGCATCTAATTCTGGTGAGACTGAGTGACACACAAAAAACCTAAGCCTTGAAAAAGTTAGGGATTGTTGACATACAAATGGCAGAAACGCCATCAAGCTTAAAAAAAATCCCAATTAAGTCTGAAGTTGCCTACGCCTTTTGGGACATTTCTAAAAACGTGTGTTGGGCATGAATTGCCTAGCCATCCACCAGTTTGCAGGGGTCAAATTTTCTTCCTCACGCGGCGGATTTCGGCGTTGCAGGGGTCAATTAACTATCCTTGCTTCATTATGGATCCCCATGCCCCCAGACCGTGGCATATCTGGATATGCATGTACCATTGTGACGTCATTGTCGACATTAAAACCTACAGGTTTCGCTCCTTTTGGTAATGATGCGGTGGGAGTGAGTTTCACCTGAATCATATTTGTTATGGCCTGAGTGTATGAGTGACTACAAACAAAATTTTTTGTTTTATGTCTTGTTGGCTTTAGCAGGACGCCTTTATTATGGCAGGGTAATGGCCTTGCAAGCAAAAAGTTCGTCAAAGATTTCTTCGGCATCCTCATTGTCAAAAAAATATTTAACATATCTTCATTCTTTAAGAGTGAGCCTTTTTGGTGGTTCTTTATTTTTGCCATTGTCATTCTTTTTATATGTCTTGACAAACGTGTGACTTTTTTTTTCATTTTCCTTTCCCCAATTTGAAAATTTTGGGTCGTTAATTTTTGTCAAGCTATATGCCTTTCCACATTGCTCGTCTTTGACACTAACACATCGAATGATTGGGATTCAATGAGCGGGTGGACTCACTGCTTTGGCAAACAGAATTAACCCATGTTTTATAAATTTTTAGTTCAAGTAGTGCCAATTCATCATCCAAGCATGAATAAAAGTTGAATTGTGCATATGCTACGTATTATTTAATGAATTTTCACTATAAAAACATATACTTAAATTTAAAACTAAAAGCATGGTGTAAATGTGGAGTAGGCCAATTAGCCAAGATATGACGACACCTTATAATGAAAGTTTAATACAGTATATAGAAAAATAAAAGATAAGTTGTGTGACAAAGGGCAGTTCGAGTAATTAGGAGCATTTATTCATGCATGTGCAGTTTTAGGTTCAATTTACTCGGGATTTAGCTACAATTTGAGAATGAAAAAGGGAAATTTGATATTTCTATTGTTTGGCAACCTAAGTACAAAACTTAATAAATGACATGCGGAAAAAATCATAGAAATTGGAGATTAAGATTTCTAAGTTTAATTTCCGTAAAAAAAAATGTGATGTTACAATTTCTATTGAGCGAAAATTTATTTTTTGTATAACTCATATTATTTACAACATTCGACATACATGAATTCACATTGAAATTATTAATTACAAAATATTTAAATTATAGATATCTAAATCACGTCATTTTATAATTCTATGCGATCTTCAACTCGTTTTACAATAGAGGTTTATTGTGTCAGTGTCTCTTCTCTTATCTTCTCTCTCACTGACGGCGACTGCGCTTCTTTTCTTTGCTAGTAAGTCATCTCACAGTTCCTTATTTTCGTGTTTAGAAAATCTTTTTCCTTTTTGGTTTTTCAAAGAAAATTTCTTTTTTCTGTTTGGTCGACGGGAAAATCCAGGTAAACGAAAGGAATCGAGAATTTTGAACTGTACACTTTCTGCTTCCTTCGGCTCTCTGCGTCCAGTTGAGAGTCGAGACGATTCTCTTGATTTGGAAATCTGAAAGGATGCAAATCCAAAATAGTATTTCTTTTTTGGTTTTAGTTTTGCTTCGTTTTGTCGGCGAACAAACAGTGTTTCTGATCGTTGTTCTTCTTAGCCTCTTTGGCTGATTGAGGTTTTGGGTTAAGCTTTGATCATGGTTCTCTTGCTTTTGTACTTACTTATGTTGATGCGGGAATTCAATGGTTTTTTTTTTTTTTTTTTTTAATCAATGGATTCATAGGTTAATTGTGGTTAAAATAATATCTTACCAGGTTTTTTTTGTTTTTGTTTTTGTTTTTTTTCATAAATAGAATTGTGACGGTTATGGTACTTAACGCAGTCGGACAAGATCCTTTGCTTAATTTTCAGCATACAAATTTAATTGCGTGTATTTAGGTTTGCAATTGTTTTAAATGGAATTAATAAGTAATATGTGAAATATGGGTAACTTTGGTGGTGCTTTAGTTGTAGTTTAGAATTTTTTATGTGGAACTTCCTACGATTGCTTATAAAATTGTGTTGCTGTGTTTGCTTTTCTTGTCCTATTTTTTTTGGGAACAATTGTCACTTAGATATGGAATTGTCGTGTAGATCCATGGAAATACATGTGGCTTACTATTCATGTCACATTTGGCATTATAGTGCATTGTCTCTCTTTGTACAATTAAAGAGAAAGTTTCCATCCACAAACGAAAAAAGTTCATTGACCATGTTTTGAAATCATGGTCTTCTCAGAGTAAAAGATGATGTTTTGAATGAAAGGTGACTTACATAATTTTGTCTCTACTAAAAATGGAGATATAACCCCAGAGTTTTTGGAATTCTGGTTTAGCTTTTCATGAAATAAGTCTTTGTTTTATTTTATATTTATGCATTGGGCATGCCATACAAACAGTTTTCCATACAAACAGTTTTCTACAGTTCTAGACATGATTTTGTCAACATATAAGATGGATGCAAGTATTAACACTTATGTGATGCATACTTTTTTCATTATGAAGTGTTGACAGAATTAAGTGCCTTCTAGGTATCCTGATTTTATATAATGGGTGGAAGTTCGATTGATGATGACTGGGAGCTTCCTTCACTGTCTAGTGCAGTTCGCACTGTGGTCTTAGTTGGACGTACTGGTAATGGAAAAAGTGCAACAGGAAACAGTATTCTTGGAAGAAAGGCCTTCAAGTCCAAGACCAGCTCCTCTGGTGTTACAAGCACTTGTGAATTGGAGAAAGCTGTATTGAGAGATGGACAAGTTGTAAATGTTATAGACACTCCTGGTAAAATCCTGCTGATTTATAATTTTCTAAACATCTATTTTAGTTTTCTCTCTTCTTTCCTTTTCTGTAGTAGGGAGGCAAATGTATAGAGTAGTTGTATTTGGTCTTTGGAAGCTATCCTTTCTTCTCATTGTGTTGACTTGTGTTGTACACTGGTGCAGGTCTTTTTGATTTTTCTGCAAGGTCAGACTTTGTTGGCAAAGAAATTGTCAAATGCATTGATTTGGCCAAGGATGGAATCCATGCGGTTCTTGTAACTTTCTCAGTTAGGACCCGGTTTTCACAAGAAGAAGAAGCTGCACTACGTAGCTTGCAAACTTTGTTTGGAAGCAAAATTATTGATTACATGATTGTGGTCTTTACTGGCGGAGATGACCTTGAAGAAAATGATGAGACTTTGGAAGACTATTTGGGCCGTGAATGTCCAGAGCCGTTGAAGGTTACTCACGAACATTCAAGCTTGTCCGTGACTTTGGCTTATTTTCTTTCTTTTCTATAAACTATTATGATAATTTCATTAGTAGTAGTGTTCATTTCTGAATGAGTATCTACCCCTTAACTTTATTCTCATTTTACTTTGATGCGTGTAAACTATTAACACGGTCATGCATATTACATCAAACATAGTTATACGAATGTTTGGATTTATTTGCTACATAATTGAGACAATTTTCATCAACTCTTCCCTTTTCAGTTTGTACAATTTACATGAATGACCAAGAAAATTATTTTTGCGTGGGCTGTCATTTTTCATGTCTTTGTTTAGTTTTTTCTTTGGGCTGGGGGATGTCAAAGTTGGTTTTGTATAAAATATGTCCTTAACAAAGTGGACTTCAAGAATATGTTAGAGAAGTTCCCTTTCCTTCAGATGACTATTGGCATGTAGATTGCAGTAAATTTCCTGTTAGTAGCATGGTACAAGGGAAGATTGACTGATGCAGCTTGCCTGAATCGTATTTCTTAGAGATTATTATAGTCTGTTATTGTGTTTTCATATATGGTTTGTAAAAATTTGTTTCCACTTTCTTTTCTTAATCCAGTGCTGTCTTGAATATAAAGATAACATGTACTAGAAATCTAACCAATTCTTGGATTGATGTAGGAAATCCTTGTTCTGTGTGAAAATCGCTGTGTGCTTTTTGATAACAAGACTAAGGATGAAAGTAAGAGGGTTAAACAAGTGCAGCATCTTCTCTCCCTTGTAAACCAGGTCATAGCTCAGAATGGTGGACGACCGTACACTGATGAGATATTCGCTGAAGTGAAGGTACTATAATTATTTATAATAATTTTTTCCTTAAACTGTCACTTTGTTCTAAAATATCTTGATCAAATAATTATTGTATGCGACAGAAAGGGGCTATTAAACTACGTGATCAACAAGAAGAGGTTAATTCCTTGAAGGGGTATTCTAAACGAGAAATATCAGATTTGAAGGATCAGATGCAGCGTGCATATGAAGAGCAGCTTAAACGAATTACTGAGATGGTAACAGATTTTCTAAGTTTTCACCTGTCGTGCTTTTGGATTTAACATTTCCTACAGTTTTCTTACTTGGCTAAAACTAGAATATCCATGTGCCGTGATCACAGTATTGACCACCCCCTGTTAAACCATTAGAACCTATATCTAAACTTAAAATATTTAGTAAGTGGTATTTGGCAGTCACTGATTTCCTTTGAGCACATTTCCCCTTGCCAGTACCTTTTAGACAAGTGTTGGCATATTAATTGGAGATACTGAAGTCCTGAATTAATTTAGTAGGCCCAGGGTTGTAGGATGCCTTCACTAATTTAAGACATCTTTCATTATTGTCCTTGGGATAAGCATGACCTGTCGTGATTTTACAAGAAGATTCTTGTTCTGTCATATAAAATTTTGGTATGCTTAATGAATTCAGTTATAGTTGTTGTCCACCATATTTTTATCAATTGTCAAAATTTGATTGAAATAACAGACACTTCCCCCTCCCTCTACCCATGTTTCTTGATCTGGGGACGCAAAATCCAGCAACTAATGAGCTATCTCATCTACCTGGGACATGATCTATATTCAAGTCTGTTGTATCTATGTGATATCCTTAGCCCCAAGTCTGTGATATTGATTAGAAAATTTCTTTAGATCTAATTTTGTTTTTCCCTCACCTAGCATAGGTGTGGTGCTGCACAGTTTTGTGTGTGTTGGCTTGTACTCTTATCAGACTTATTATAATATTATTCCAAAATGCATAAACTGTTATGTAAACCTCAAATATGTTTCAACAGCATATGAGATATATGCTTAATACATGAGATGAAAAAGATGGATTTATTCCTTGTCTAGTTAAGAGTTTTGAGTGATAGTGCAGAATTTGTCAGCTACAATTATTAAATTGTATAGAAAATTCTTCTTGACTTAAAAGATTTAACTATCGGATGGATTTCCTTAAATCAATTTCATACCCTTAAGGCATGTTGGCTTTATATCTGGTTGTTTTTGGAGTCTAGTGTGAATAATTGTCATTTGTTGAAATGTTTTTTAGTTGTATAGATAGAATGAAATGAAATTTCTATATGCTGTGACTTGTATTATTTTGTTTTCAATTCTTGGGGTAGGTAGTGTATGTTGGGGAGTAGGAATCCTGTTTAGCGAAGTAGGAAATGTTGACAGGCCTTGAGAAACATAAGCATACATGTGTTCACTTTGATTGGTGTATTTCTTTATTCACGATTATGTTGTTATACAGGTTGAGTCAAAGTTAAGAGAGACCACTATTAGGCTTGAGCAACAGCTGGCAGATGAACAAGCTGCTCGACTGAGAGCAGAAGAGAATGCCCAAATGGCTCAGATGAGGTCGGATGATGAAATTCGAAAGCTTAGAGAAAATCTTATGAGAGCAGAGGAAGAGCTTCGTAAAAGAGGTGAAGGCAAGTGTGCCATTCTTTAATGTAATTCTTGATAAAGATAAGTGATAAGGAGAGTGATCATCAAACATCAAATCTCTTCCTTCATTGAACCGTGGTTGATGTGGGAGTTTGCTGCAACTGTTTGTGACAGCGATTGATATTGGTTATGATTTGATCCTCTTTATGTAAATTGGTAGGATGCTCGCTTAAAATTTCAAATTTATACCTATACATATATTTTATGCCTATATGTTTCTCTAGTTTGTTCTTTGATGTCTATAATGTTTGGCTTACAATTTCAGCCATATGTTTCAGTTGCAGAATGCATACACTTTATTTTTGTGCAGGACATCCCCCCTCAGCCCTGGAATTTGTTGCCGGTCAAATCCAAAGGTTGAGATGGGATCAGAAACTGAATCAAACCCTATCTTTTCACTCAAAATTTCTATGATGAGTTATATCTTATGGTTATCTCTGTTCGCTTGCTTGCTTAATTTCTACGCAATTTGAAAGCTAGGAAGGCGATCCAAGACAAGGCCCTTGCATTTTGATCTTTGTACTGACCCAGACCTAACCCATAGAGAATCCTTGCTATTTTCAGCAAGCAGGTTTATGATATGTTTTGAAAATTTCGACCTGGAAAAGTTGATTTGGCGTGGAATAGATGTCACTAATTTGATAACCTCAGGCTACTTTTAGCGTGTCATGAAGTATATATAGGAATGCAATCACCACGTTTGGTGTCTGCGATTGTATTAAATAAGTTTAGGAAGGGATAAGTTTTCTTCGTGACTAGTTCATCTTCTAGCTTTAACTCGGGTAAAACTTTGAAGTTGGTCTCCATTTCTTACAGGCATCCTAAGGGGCCTTAGGAAAAGAGATACGGACATAACTGTGCCATTCTTTTGATTAAAAAAGAATAGCCATTTTCCCTTTTGCCTTTTCTCTGGCTGATACTCACCAACTACAAGATAATTTTCTTTAAGATTTTGTTTTAAGACTAACAAGATGGCAGAAGAGGCGATACAAGTTAATGTAAAGTTCTGTAAGGACCATCTCATGGACATAAAACAATAGGATTGTCAAAAGAAGAACATGAGATTAATTGTAGGTGGATGCCGGAATTGATGGGCTTCATTTTAAAGACAATGCTGCATGTTCTATTATAGAGGAATTAGTGTTTTTTTATGAATTGATATTGCAACCATTCAAAATTTGTATCACTTCGATTCAACCTCTCTTCTTGAATTGTGGGTTTATGAGTGTATTCATGTTTCTAAAGCTATTTTTAAGTATATACATTAGTTTCAGAAGCATGAACGTTATGGTACGAAAGCTGTGCATAATTTGAACCCTACGGCACAACCGACCGGTAGCAAATCACCGAGCCCTTCTGCCATCCAGTCACAAGAAGACCGACCGATCCCCTGCATTATATCTTGAAAACATTTTAACAATGATGTGCTAGACAGGACTACCTCCTCTATTAATCAGCTGAAACTTTTAATAGCACAAAACTAATTAACAACTGATTTTCTGACCAAGTTATGCATCGCTGCCACAATTAAAAGCTGTGCAATTGCCGAGTACGGTAAACTTACTGAATTACCAGCCTTACAATAGTAATTATTCTGGAGATTGAGCTAAGTCATATAACAATCTTTCCAAGTACATTTCCATGTTCATATGCAGCAAGCATATGCTAATTATGTAAGTGCTTCAGCAGTTTCTAAAAATGGCAATGTTCCAGAACTATTGGACACACTACACTACTAAAAACAGTAGGCAGTCACATCATTATTTTGAATAAGATTGAGCTAGCATTTGCTGAATCTCTCTCCAAAAAGCTTACCTGCATGAGTAAAAACACACAAAATAAAGTGAAAAATCATAACATATATATAGATAGTGATATGCAGATAGAAGGATATAAATATTTACCCAAGATGGAGAATCTTCTTGTCTTGCTGTGGGTAGGTTGCTCCACCCTCCATCATAGTTTGGCTAAAGAAATTGCGAGAAGCTAATGCCTGGATTGCATTCAGCTCTGGCCCAACCATGTTTGCTTGTTGAAGCCTCTCAACTTCTGAAATCTGAAGTTTGGAAAAAGATATCATATATTAATATGGAAGCTTTCGATCATGACATAAATATTGCATGTTGGAATGAACATTAAGAGCTAAAAACAGAGAAGAGTGCAGTAATTTGAGTGTTATTTTCACTTATTTTTTACAAAACTTAATTTCTTCCGATACCTTAGTTCGAAGACACACATTTTCGTTTTCCAGCTCGATCTCCTGCGTATAAAAATAAAAAATTTAGAACATCATTCCACAACAAGCTTCAAAATTCTTCTAAAAGAAAACTAGCCACATATAAACTGGAATTAGAAGGAGAGGATTTACCTTTTTCTGCAAGTACTCAATTTCTGCAAGCAGCATTTCATGCTGTTCTCAAGAGGTAGATAGCAGGAAAAAGATAACATTAAGATGAGAAGAAAAGTTGACATTGGAAGAATATGCATGTGCACACACACAGTTTTTGTAACCATAAACGTAGAAGTTTATGTGTTAATTAAGGTTCTCATCATAATAAATAAAGGCGATAAGTACACATCAACTACCACATAATCCCATGAGCTAATATGATCGGAAATTTGGAATGAGTCAAACAACATAAAAGACTCTGAAAGTCTAGGAAATGGCATTAAAATTTCAAAGTTGACGAAGCTGTGCTTTGTCATGCATTTTTTTTTTCGGGTAATTAACTTTCACATTCGATTTTCATCAATTGTTTGATAAATTGCATACCTTCTTGGACCTGATTCTATTAATGCCTCGTTCAAGCCTATTCTCCAGCTGCTTTAGCTCTTTCACACTCAAAGTACTCAAGGCATCTCCCATTAAGTGCCTACAAGCAAAGAATATTTGTATCCATCCATTACCGAAATCATATTGCCTTGAGATGTAAAATTAATAGGGCAACCATGATATTATTGTCGGAAATAAGATCTATACGACGTCGTTAGACTGTTGATTACAATACTATATGGTGTTGCCCACATATAAGAGATGCACAGGAATGTAGGGTTCTGATGCATGTGGCCATGGTGTAACTCTTGAATTTCCATTTAATAATGTTCACTTTTTTTTTTATATTCTCAATTAATGTTGGTTTTATGCTTCAACGTCATAATTTGGCAAACAAGTGTGATGTATGTTCTTTTTCGAGTTGCATGAATCACCTGTTGGAATTCTGCAGCATTTGAATCTGTTGCCTCAGCTTTGCCGATTCCTGTTGATAATACTACATCAAGACAAAAGGAAAGCATACATTGTTAGCCTTACAACCTATGCATTTGAATCTTTTTCACTTTTGTTATAAGAGGATTTGAACCTAGAATCTAGCTCTCACCCATGAAATAAAAATCACAAATATGCTTAATTTTCGTTTTACAATGACTAAGCAAATATAGCATACTTGAACTGAAAGATTTATATCCTTGATTGTGATTAGCTTAAAACAATATATAAGCATATCAATTGGAATGAATACCGATGGAGATAGCTTACTTGAGCATTAATTTCAGTAATGGAGGTTGAACCTGAGCTATCTGAGCAAGCCTTCTTGTACCTCTCTATAGTGTTTCTTATGCTGCTACATGTCCAAATATTTAAGTTGAAAGTGTCAAAAGGCAGTGCAGATCTCGATTTCCTTTTCAAATACAAGAATGAAAAAGAGAAGAAAAAAAGTTGATCGACATTGCCCAGACTCTACCGTTTATTAATTTTTGAAGGTTTTTTTGTGTTTGTTGGCTAAATGGTCGATATAATGGTGTTGTAGCTAAAGAAAATTGAGTTATTGTGAGTTGGAACGTCGGACAAAGAAAAATCATTTTTTAGGATAGTTATTCTCTTGTATCAAATAAATCTATAGTATCTGATACATTATTATCGATGTTTGGTAAATATATAAACTTCAACAAATTCTTTACCAAAGCATAAGTGTCAACTAAAATTTTCCCTCTCCAAACACCAAACATGAGCATCTTTGGTTGTTTTGGAGTCAAAGGCTTAATTGCAAAACAACCTCAATGCGAAGGTGTCAAACCATTTGAAGGGCTAGCGCTAAAAGAACATATGTTGGTGGAGGACATGGATATAGGGCACAATGCGTAGGAATCAGATTAAACAGGAAGCACTATAAATGCATGGTGTGGCTCTCAAGTCAGTTCAATTCTTTTGTGGAGGGCAGTGACAGCTACAGGCAATTTTTGCCCAACTTTCAATATTTCTTTTCTCAGCTATATATATATATGCACATACATTCACCACTTAATGAATAAATAAATAAACTATTTTTCAAAATTGCGAATTTTTAAAGGGTGAAAATTATATAGCCAAACAGGGAGGTTCTCAAAGCTAGAGATGGAAGGAGAAGACAGAAGAAATCTAAATCCCAGAAAGATGAGAGAGATTAAGTACTGTGCCAAGCAGACAAGAGATTCTCTATAATTTATTTTTGACACTGAAAAGGAATGGGAAGAAAATTTTGACATTGAAAAGCAACAGAAAGAATGTAGAAATTAAACACATGCAATGCAACAAAAGGCTGAGTGTACGTCTAAATTCAAGAAATCTCATAGAGCAGATTCTATCAAACGGAAACCAAAAAAAAAAAACATCAGAAAGCAGAAAAAAAGTGGTCTGTGTATTTTAGTTAATTCCTTTAATTTCTTTTTTGTGTTTTAAAATTTTCTCTTACCTGCTCTGACCGCATTTACGATTGCTATGGTACCTAAATTTAAACATGTTTGCATATTGCGATACGATAATTGAACATTTTTGCATAGCGATCAATTTCGAAAAATAGAAACCAGTTTCGAATACGCGCTTGTTTAATTATATTTCAATACTTGAAAACTTGTGTGCATATTAGTGAAGTATTATTGGAAAATAGTGGATCATATCAGTTAGTGATGCAGACACATTTTTATTTGAATGTGTATAATTCCAGGTAAACCATAATGACAAAATAATTAAGATGAATGAATACGATCTTGAGAAAGATTATTAGCTCCAAATCAACATGAAAAGTACATCATAAATAAACAAATCTCAAGTAATGAGAGGATGTAGTTTTGTGGGTCCCATATGATCTGAAGAAATATGGGCATGCATGCAGATACAAATATGCACAGTGCTTCACATTCCAAGACTCATCATAGACAGCACAATAGTCAGTTCACTTAATTAACGACTCCTC